ATGTGCAGTAGTGGTTCCGCGTACGGAGCTACGAAACGAGGTGATGTCGCAACGAGGATGGCCAACAAACTGGCGGACTCTTCCTTGTTGCGACTGGAACCGCTGTCAGATAGATCAATCAGCAGCTGAAAAAAGGGATGACCAGACATGGACAAATTAAAAGCAAAGGCCTCAGGAAGCACTATTCGTACAGAGGAATTCAAACTTGGTACGGCAAAAGTGGGCTCAAAAAGGGGCCAAAAAATCGAAAAAGAAGGGATTACCCCGAGCAGGGCCTTGCGGAGAGTGGGCTGTACACAGGCCGGATTGATCTCCGAAAGACGGCCAAGGCATTGCATTACGAGACATCGAATTGCGAAGACCTCATCATTCAGAGCCACAAACAGCGAACTGAGATGATTTGACTGGGCCACGTAATTGTCAAAATGGAAGTCCAGGCAGTTAAACACGCACTGGCGGACATCAGGGTCTATTAACAGGGAAATGGGAATAACAAAAGGGAAGGCCCTTCAGAGGAATGCATAGAAAGTCAAAAGGAGAGCAGAATCATTGTATGCACACCAAGAAAACTTGACCAAACGTGGGGAGGGAGGAAGGAGAGCCAGGGGAATGCGTCTCTGGCTGACTTAAAGTTTACCACTTCGTCCTTTCTACACAACCCCGTTAGTACCGTGATCGCAGGCGCCGGGACATTTTCACCTGCAAACAAGGCCGTAGATCTTTATCAATTTTCGGGATCGACGAGCAAAGCTGAGTCACCTTGTTCTTTTTGTTCACTATGCCCATGGGAATTTTCTTAAATATACATCAGTTAGTTCATGTTTCTCATTATATACAGGTTTTTACCCCGTTTTATATAGTTGAACTCTAACACTGAGGGCATCTTCACACTAGGCTGGCAGAGTTTAAAAGGAGTGGAATGTGGCGAAATTTTTCAGTTTATTTGGTGAGGGTAACAGGCAATACTTTTGAAAACCCTACTGTTTACATGCCGGTGCGTCATAAACGTTTGTACACGCTCGCCTAGAAAATGCCGCTTTTAAATAGTATTCACAAACTGTGAGTAGCATTGTTTTTACAAATAACTCTTGTCTGGAGTTCGTGTGATATCAGTTAGCTGCGGTTTCCCACCACTATATTTGTGATCGTCCAGTGGTATGTTTTGTGTACTCATTTATAGACACGGTTAACGCAGGATATTTTGCTGAAAATTTTGCAACGATGCTATACATAACCAGGAGCGTATTACCGACAAAGACAAAGGAGACTGAAAGGGCCATTTCTGGTTTATTAGTCGTCACCTGCGAGCTATACGCGGCCCCAAATGTATACACAAATATACCTCAACTATCGGCTGAACAAAGATGGAAAAGGACGCATAGGTCAGTCAGGCATTTCTAGAGGCGATGTGACGTGAGAAAAGGCAATGAGGGTAGTTAATTACTTACCTGGATCGCTCGTGCCCACAATTAGCAGCTTTCCCAGAATGTCTGACATAGCGTCCAGGGTCTTCCTCAGGGAGATGGGCATATCCTCAGCAGACTGACAAAAAGAAAAGTAACAATGCAACATTAAGTGGTTGTTCTTCGGCGTGAAAGGGTGCGAAATCGACTGTAAAGGGGGAGGTCGAAACACGTTTCGTAGTTCAGGCAAAACAGTAATGCCGTAAAAATGCAATAAACCTAAAGGATTTTGTCCTCGTCCAACAGGAGACCAACTAAACTTTTAACCGGGTTTTAAAGATAGCCCGCCTGTCACCTGCAGAAAGCTGTCAGAATTTTTTTTATCGGCTACCACAGACGTTCTGTCGAGTACACAAGTGAGCAGATCATCCGTACACACAATTAAGTGACAGTTCAACTTTAAAACATGCCAATACCTTTATCCAGGGCAGCATCAATCGGAGACAAGTGCGTACGCCCTCCAGACGAATTTCCTTGATGCTGCAATTGCTGATGGAAATGAAATTGTCCGCGGTGTGCTTCACAAAGTAGGCAAGAGCGTGACCTAGACGAATGGAGGGCAGGAGAGGACTGTGGGTTTTAATGCATTCGGGTTAGAACATTGATAAGATCTTGAGGAGCGTATAGGACGCGAATTTGCATTACCAACGGAGACTGGCGTCACCGGGGCTCGAACCCGCATCCTTTTTATTTACAAGTCAGGCGCCCTAACCGCTGCGCCACAGGGTTTTTATTATACCGGTTTCGATTGGAAATATACACAATGACAGACAGGCGCTCGCCGATTAGTTACAGAACTCGAAGGCACAAGAGGAAGAAAGGGCCCCGTAATCAATCGGTGAGCTGTACGGAATTCCTCCCCCTTGCTGTCATGGGTTCAAATCCTAGCGAGGTTGCCGGATTTCTGACAAGTGTATCAAATAATTTTTTCAAATCTGCCCAAAAAACCTCTTAACAACGGTTCATCCGCCGGCTTCGACGATGTACACCGTGCACCTCAGCAATCTGAAGGCAAACACCTCTCTCGTTAGTGTAACGCTGGCTTAGGTCTTCACTAAAACTTGTACCTAACCTTCCGGACACAGCCTCCCTCCATCCAGCGCCTCCCGGTATGCAGTTCTGCGAGTGCTGCAAGCAAATTTCCTATATTTGTAAATGTTTGATTATTTCTCCCATACCAGCGGGAACGCAGTTACGAAAAAACAACATTAGGCATATTAAGTACTTAAAAGAACTATAAGAAGTACTAAGTGGTTGTTAAGAAAGATAAAATTTTCTCGATAATTCCCAGCTTGTGAAGACGTCAAAAATAGGTATAAATTAGAACAATAAATTTAAATAGTTTGTTAAGTATAACACTTAAAGC